ATACTAAATATTATTATCAAATCATATTGATCCATCACTGCTGTGTGATCACTGTCATGCGCGTCAATCTGCAACAGTAGCGAACGTCAAACGTTCTCCGTTTAGCCGCAAATTGATATTTACTTATTCATCATCAAAAGGACAATACTTATCGTTATAACTTAGTGCAGAGCTGAGACAAGACGCTTAAAAAACAAAGAGTCGAGTTTAGGTTTCAGATCATCCACTGCGATACCTATGTAACCTTATCTAATAAGTTTGCTGATTCTGGAATCGGTTAAACTTTTGTTGCGGTCGCACGACTTGATACTATACTCTGGCTCTGTTAGCGCCTCTGCTTATCAATCGCATCAGCTGCGGGCAATGTGTAAACACACTCGAGTGAAAAACAATAGACTATAACGGCCGCCGACCAAAGAATTCTCACCGGCGTTTTAAGCCGTCGTCATCGTCGCTGACTGGCCGGTCGGTATAACGCGCGTTTGTACGGTAAAACGACTATTATGAGCGCCGTTTTCTTCCAAGTGTTAGCCATCGTCACCGTCGACCGGGTGACAGATTGTTTATGCAGGATCTCGAGTGCCCAGGCCGGTGCACGGTCGCTTTTTCTTAATCACAATAATATAACAACAACGACAACAACAGCAATAATAATAATAATAATAAGGTCCGCGCGTTACCTTTTTCTACAGTGCGTCATTTAAGCGTCGCAGAACAAAAGACCCGAACGACACGCATCATCCCTTTCACACTCTTAAAAAAAACCCACGGCGACTCAAGTGGTTTTGCAAAACACGTCTTCTCGCGCAATATTATAAATGATCATCGCCGCCAAAAAAAATTGTATACATTGTAGGGGATGACGAGATGGTTAGAAAAAAAGAGCTTCTCGGTGTATAGTATTAGGTACTCACGCGTCGCCGGGAGGGTCAACTGCTTATTATATATTTACTGCGGCCGTGTAGATAATATATATTTACGGTTAATTTGTCAATGACAAAAAGAAGCGCAGGCGCACATAAGAAAATTTGATCATAAAAAGAGAGAGAACGAGTTAATATTGTTCTGGGGATTAACCGGATGACTTTGATTAAGTTTCGGCTGCAGCTGCCGTACACGACGCGTTGGCTCGAAAAAAACCGTTTGGTAGGTTGCCAAACGATCAACTGCTGTGTGTGTGTGTGTATGTTTATTGTAATAAGGATAATTCCAAAACAACCGTTGAGCACATAAGCAGGCGCCTCCGTAAGCTCACACGGGCAACCGCACGCGCAGAAAATATTATAATATATTATCGATATTAAGATATTATTATTAGTATTGTTGAGTAATTCTAGGGCGGTGCCATCTTGTATGTACGCACATTGTTAATGTATATAATATAATAGTGTACAATAATTGAAATACATTGAAACAGACATTTTGTTGTCTTAAGAATTGGCTTATTACGGACTAACTTTTAGATCACCCACATACATTATTTATCGATGTTATCTATACTTTAGAAATATGATATAATTTATCGTTTATATCATATCGCTTTTATGTTTCACTTACATTATCCACCTTAAACGTTCAGAAATATTATTATCAGGGCTTGCATTTCCGTATTAGATCCTAAGAACATGGTATCTACTATAATGCGCTTATGCGTAATACCGTGCATCATCATATTATTATTGGTATGTAAAAAACAAACTACTGGTAAAACTGTAATAACCGAAAGCCTATAGAAAGTATACGGCCCCAATTATCTGTATAACCTGAGACAAGAGTTTAAAAAAACTGTAAATCAGGATAAAATTAAAGTGTTTTGCGTCAACTCATTATAGTATATTCTATTTAGTACGGGCCATGCTTTAGTGTTTAAATACCGTGCTTAAGTGCCAATGAGGTAAAAACTAGTATCGTACATATTATTATTATTATTTGTAAAAACTGTTTATAGAAGCGGTATATTTTTCATATGGGTCTGTACCGCGGCATTAACGGATTTGTGCCCGAATTTCAATTCGTATCAGTATAATTAATGGCCGGGTCAAAAAAATACACATGTGTAATATGTACCTCAACAGGAAATAATGACAGCACGGTTCTACGTAGAAAGTCAACTGTCGCAGCACATTATAGCGGTTAGGTACGATAGTATATTATTATACGTATGTATATGTATAAAGTACTAAAGAAGAAGATCAGGAAGCGTGCGCGACGGGTCGACCGGGTTATAAGCCAGACCTGCTTGATCGCGTTTATATACATTTGTGAATACACTTATTTATTTTTATTATATATAACATATATTATAATATAGTATAATAACGTTGTGGACGCCGCGAGTGGAGCGGTTGTCAAAAGGTCAAAACGACTAGTCTACAGAGTCGCCCGCGCCCGAGTTTTATAGGACATTACGTAAGTAATATATAAGTATATATTATTACTATATGTATATATATATATACATATATATATGCATACAGGGATATAATGTACATAAGTATGTGGTATACACATAAAAACACGGTTAATTCGAATAGGACGACCGAGTCGGTGCGCACGCGTTTAAATAAATAAATAATTTTTACTAAACCGTGGCATTAGACTATGCCATATAAAAAACAAAGTATATTATACATAAAAAAAAAATTAATATTTCTCGCTAGATAGATAATGGCGAAGAAGAGCGGTGGTCCTCGACGCTTCTAAAATAGGAAGCCGGCCAAATCGGCAAACCGGTCCCTCTACAGCGCGGTGGCCACCGTTCAGTAATGACCAAAGTCGTTATTCTCTATTAATACCTATTATTACAATTTTGCTCATACAATTCGCATTGCCCACATTCAGTGCATATCAGCTTAAGTCTCAGCAACAATGGGCTACATAGTGTGCAATTCGTTTGCATGTGTGCGCGTACTTTGTTAGCGACTTTTCGAATAGGTAATCACTACGGCTAAACATTGTTATTATCTTCACCCGCGTATGCGCAGGGCGTTTATATTAAAATAATAATTTATACTATATTTTAAGGGGGGAAACGGCATTACCCGTAAAACTGATCGGGATTTGCGATACGGCAACCGCTTTTAATTATTGACCTTCCGGCGCATGTCTTCGCATTCCGGTAGCGTCCAATCGGCCTGTATAATAATAATATTGTATATTATTATAATATACAGGGTTTTTATTATCATCGATATAGTATTGTTGTTGCCTTGGGTGGCCCGTTGCCGAGTGTGTTTCGACTCAAATCACTTGAGCGCGAGAAACGAGGCAATATCGTACACCGGCCCACGATCTACGCCCACCGGGTGTGATGCCGATCAGATAGTCTTCTTCTTTCGCCCGGGTTCTTCATAAAATTTAATTAAACGTGGTTAACCGTCTATCGGACTTACGCGTGTGTCGGTCGACAGGAAAAAAAGTCGCACGACTACATTAAGGCGGAATGTTAAAAGTGGACTCGAAAACGATAACATTATTTTAGAGTGTGGACTCAGCAGGTATAGGTGGCTAACTTTTTTTTTTTTTGAAAGAGAGATGTCCTAGTTGGATTCTATCAATTAAGTGCTGCATATACTCACAGACGATTTGTTGTCCTCAAAATCCATATTCTGTTAAGTCAGTTATAGAAATCAAACAACATATACCTAATTGACGGCGATCCATTATAAGAATTTCCAAATTTCATACTACACTTCGCAAAGAGTGCATAATTATTACGACCATACGTTAACCTGATTAATTATCCTAATTATTTTGTGGGTCCATGCAAGGTCTATCAGTTTATCTATTTAGTTTAAAAAAATTTATATTATCGTCGAACTTGTAAAAGAAATTCAAATTAGGACTACGCGTTTAAACATTAGCAGTTATGCGAGTAAATATGTAACTATAAAGCGAATTAAGAAGGATACTTTTTTATTTTGGCTTTCTCTGTGGTGTACTCATACATGCTTGTTGAAAACCGTAAGACGCTGTTTCTCGGTGGTCGAGGGCTTAAAGGTTTTCTTCGCTCGCAAGGCACTGCCACGGTGATTGTATAGGACTGACTAATGCTGAAACACAACCCGTAATGGTCTTCGCGCAGCCGAATGATTCTTCGAAAAGCGCTGGTGGGTGGTAATTTAGCACTTGGTCGGACGTTTAGGGGCTCATTTGGGGTAGACTCGACTCTCCTCGGTACTTGCCGGTGTCGGTCTTACAAGAAAGTCCGTCGGCCGGCATGTGTAATTATTTATAGATCCTCGAGACGCGATAGGAACGCGACCATGATGACTAAGGACAACGTCGAAAAGCGCTTCCTCTTCGACGGTTATGCGGTAGCGTCTTAACGCGTTTAATAATTATTTCGTGACTCGAGGCAATTGCGAAGTAATGGCGACGGCCGTATACGACACACATACGCCACTTTATTGATTACTATAGAGTGTATTTCCATATAACTGCCGTAAGTCTGTGTGTGCTTAAGGAGAAAGAAAAAATACATAATAAACATAATGTGTAACCGATACGGGAAGGATGCGTATACCCGGAAACGCATCGTTAAAGCGCATTGTACTTATTTATATGATGTGAACGTATTAATCTCGATTAGTAGCCGTGACACGAAATCATCCTCGGCTGCCGTAGATTTTCGAAAACGGCTAAGTATAATATACAAAAATAACATTTAATGTGTACCTATCATAGAAGAAAAATACAATTCCGTACAACTAAGATCCAGGCGAAAACCGCAAATGTGTATAGGTCTATGGTACATAGTATCGATTTATATGTGTGTGTGTTAAATTAAATAATAATAATATGTTAATGTCACATCCCGGCGATTTTTGTTTTCGGAGTACGCGTTAACGTGAAATCCTTGACCAAATCCGTTTAAACCATAATCATAATAAATAGTCCGGCGAGGTCAGGCCAGTCTACATAATATATCCGATCATCTGTGTGGATAAATGTGTATAATAATTTAATATTATAAGTAATTTATTGGTTTTCTGTTACAGATGAACCAACAGTGTAAAGTTTGTGGAGAACCGGCCGCCGGTTTTCATTTCGGCGCGTTCACTTGCGAGGGCTGTAAAGTGAGTACATCTAACCTAACTATAACCTAGTGTTTTTTTCGTGTTAAGACCAACAGAACTCGATCAATCGTATTTTGAAGTAACTGAAACATTGCATAAGTTAAATTACTGACAATACACTGTGACGTCATACTCTGGGAGTTATATATATATATATAGATAGATATACATTATTACCACTGTTATAAAAAAATGCTTAAACAGGCTGTTAATGTTGTCGCGCACGTACAGAGAGAAAAAACCGCACACGGTATAGGTATAGACAATAAACACTTTTTTCTTTTTCTTTTAACATAACCACGCGGTGTTTATTAAATTGAGATGTACTTAGACGTATATACCAGCCAATATAATATATACACTGTACTTGTATCAATCGAATAATCCGTTTCGACACGACAACGATTGGAATGTTAAGCGACAACGACAACGACTAACATGTAAACTCATAAACCAACACTCGCGTAACAACTATCCTCTAAAACTTAAACGCTTCAATCGTAAATACCCAACATTATATGGTTTTACTGTAAATGTATTTGCTAATCTTTTATTTTTGGAAATTTCATTTCTATGATTTCATTCAATATAAATATTTAATGTAAAGACTATGAGCTTATAAACTTTTTCAGGTGATTATTTAATTATCAAATGTATTGACCCTTGACTTTCATGCAGCCCTCTTTAATCTGTTGTTAATTATCATCCTTAATTTTATGAAAAACCATTTGCCCATTTTAGCCAAAGATAGTTATGTGTTTTTATTTTTACAATTTCGTAAGTGTTTCTATCTCAAACAGCAAAAAAAAAAAATATTTACATTTTCATAAGTTGTCAACAAGTTTGTTAATATTTTTTAATAATGTTTTGGCGGGAGATTAAATGTTTGGCAAAACATTATAGATCGACACACAAATATAGTCTTTGGATATTATTAAAATATGGAAAATCGTATTATTATTTGAGAAAATTATTGAAAATATTTTCATAATACTTAACCAACATTTTGAAAATATTGATGTTTTTTAGCTGTATTATTATATTACACCTTTATGAGGGATACACTGCAGATATATAGAAGTATTATATTGAAAGTGTGGCAAAATCAAGCGTTTGACATAACACTATTTCATTGCAGCCACATGTCCCGGGTGTGATAATAGCAATAATATAAATATAATATCATAAATAAATTATGATAACGATGGGAATAATAATAACATTATTGAAAATTTATATAGTGAGGGTCGGACCGGTTGGCGGCGAGTCGGTCCAGTTGTGTTGTGTGGCCCGCACAGGTCGCGGAATGTTAAGACATCCTTCGCTACATCTTTGTATGTCCGCGGTCGCGCGCGCTCATACGTGAGACAAATGTCAAACCTGAAACCAACAATAAAAATAATAACGTCTATACCAACGCCGTGATAATATTTAATATACTCTCTCCTCTATATTTATCTACAAATTAGTTTTATGTGCAAATGGAACGATAATAAAGAAGATCATTGGCATGGGCCGTTGATCGTGTTTGCTTTTATAACAACAGTTGCTCATTACAAATGAATACTTACAATTCGATTTTATTAATATAATAAATAGATTAAATAATTCCACTAAATACATACAAACTTTTTAGAAAGAATACCTAATTTAAATATTTAATTATTTAGGTAAACATTTTAGTAAGGTCTTAAAATTTAACGATATCCAGTAGACTTTTGACTACTGATCGCAAGGACTTCAACGCACGGTCAACATGTAGAACAGTCGAATAGTATTTTTATTGGAATTATAACATAATATAGTATAACCAGCGTAGTAAAAAACGGCTCGTAGTAATTGTTAGCTGGGATTTATCTCTACCATTGATCAAACAACGTCTTAAGCTTGCAAAAACCCCGGCGTTCGATTCTTACGACATAATAATATAGAACGCGACGTCTGTACAGACTTTAGGCGTTGGATCGTTGTCGGCCCGGTCGTTTCATTCACCGATTCCAATAGAAAACGACTCGATGTATGATTTATGCTCTATTGCCGGCCGCCCCCGCTTTACAAACGTATATGACTCATTAGTCTTTAGATACGGTTCGAAGGAGGCGGCGGTGGCGGCCGCGCGCTCTACGTTTTGCCACGAAGACATCCCGCTCTGCATATTATTATTATACATACATATTATACGAGATTGTATGTGTATCGTCTCGTGTGATCTATCGGTTTTAATAACGCGGCCCAGGTCGAAATAATATTATATATCGTGTGCACACGGTCGTGGGAATAATGTCAGCGTCTCGGCGGAGGATCGTAGCTTCGAGCTGAACACACCGGACACGCCCTTATATTACATTAATACATATATGTATACGTATGGTATATAATATGTGTATGTGTGTGTGTGTGTGTGTAGAAAATATAATATAATATACATAATCTCGTACGCGCGACCGTATTTTCCGGCAAAATACGACGGATCCATTCATATAATATGATTATACTTGACCACGCACTCACGCATCACCTACACTATACAATATAATACAACGCTGCCCTTGGTATCATGTGTAATTCTATGATGTGCGTTCGACACGGTTTTCACGTGTTAAGCGGCTTTCTTCGACATTACGTTTTTTTCCTCCCACATTTCGCCTGTCAGGTTCATCTGGAACTATATTGTACCTACCTATATTACTGTTGTTTTGTTCCGTTACATTTATTAACCATATGTGTGATTGACTGAGTACCCTGTTGATAATATTTTTCATGACTAACGCAATACTAATCTTGTGATTAAGAATAATTAATAAATGTTTTTTTTTTCTTTTACAGTCATTTTTCGGCCGAACTTACAACAATTTGAGTTCCATTTCGGAATGCAAAAACAACGGCGAATGCGTCATCAACAAAAAGAATCGGACGTCGTGCAAAGCGTGCCGACTCCGTAAATGCCTGCTAGTAGGCATGTCCAAGAGCGGTTCTAGGTACGGTCGTCGGTCCAACTGGTTCAAGATTCATTGCCTGCTGCAAGACCAAAATGCGGCCGCGGCCGCCGCCACGCACGGCAACAGTCGGCCACCATCGCTCAACGTTCCCGGTGGGTTCAACGGTTCGCCGCTATATCCGGGCGGCCTCATGCATCCTGGCCATCCCTTTCTCACAACAGACAAATTCCTGCAGGCCCGGCTTAACGGCTACGGCGCGGCGCTAATGGCGCAAGACGACGCGTATTGCCGTGCCGCCGGCGGAGGCGGTTCGCCTAAGCGCCGCTGGTACTCGGCGTCCGACGACTCCGGCGGCTCGTCCATGCCTGAAGACGAGGAAGCCTCGTGCAAGGCCAGTCCGGTGCGCAGGCACAGCCCATCGCCTCAACCATGCATGTCGGCCGCGTCGCCGTCCTCTTCGTCGACTTCGGGCGACATCAAACCCGTCATAATGCCCGTCAGCCCAACGACCGTTTTGGGTACTTCCGTATCCGGCTTCCACTCGCCGTACTACCCCATGTCCGTCACCCGACCGGGTCTGACGCCGTTCGGTGGCGGGCTGACACTATCCATGGCGGCGGCTGGATGGCACACCGGTCGCACGGCCACCGGCGGCGATCTCATGCTGTCCAGTCCGGCGCCCGGCGGCGTGGCCGTTGAACAAGAATACCCCATCGACTTGTCGCTTAAGAGCGGCTCCGCCACTGAACAGTATGCCAAATACAGCCGAACACCGCCCCGGTCGGATCCAGAACCCGCCGCGGCCACAATGCCTCTACCCCCGTCACCACTAGACTTGACCAAGCGGACGGCCGAAGTGTGACCGACGCCAATGGATTACGGTCGAGCAATTTTAGCGAAAGTAACGCGAAACCCAAATTTGTTTTCACCCCTGTACATAATATTATATCGAATTATTGTATTTTATAATTATCATTTTTCCTCGCTTCTACAGTGTAATAATAATAAATAAATAATAACATCGTTATTATAATGTTGTCGCCATTTTTTTATGGCATCGTCCTAGTCATTGTAAAACAAAGAATATAATAAAACCGCTCGCGTAGCATTATAAAATTACACCGTATTATCATATAGTAAGTCCAAAAAAAAAAAACAACGACAAAATTAATCGGAGGCACGCACCACACACATACATAATACCTTTAATAATATCATACATTGTAATTTATAACCGGTTATTTTACGGTCTGTGTATATGTTTACATTGCGGTAACCCCGTTTTCCATTTTAGGTTAGCGAGAAAAACTAGAAAATGTAAAACAAAATATTGCAGTGGGCACATCGCGGTGTCAAAGACAATAGGAGTTTGTCACATTCGTCGTAATAACATAACAATGCCGGTGGGCGTCTTGTCTTCGGTATGATATTAGACAAACGCACTGTATTATACTTGCTAGGTACACACCCGTAATTTATTACCCGTATTTTCAAATAATATCGTTATTGTTATTATTATTATTATGTGGTCAACAATAATAATTATAATAATACAGTGCCCGAGCTCTGGTTTTCTTCAACGAACGACTGGTAAAGCGTAAAAATAATAATAAGTACTTAAAAAAAATAACCAAAAAGTGAGCTCTTCCCGTCGAATCGCTCGTCCTCCTTTCCCAAAATACCGGAGTTTTTTTTTTAATATTTATAAGCCTTTTTTGTACTCGCGGTCTTCAATGTACTGTAATAATATTACACTTAAAATAATATAGAACTTAAACGAATAAGTAATAATTGTTGTTATTTCCAAAATTTGTTCGAGGGATTTTGGCCATTAAATTATTTTTAATTTGTACATAGTCTTGCTATTATGTATACTTGTACTTATATATATTATATAAACGCTATTACGACTTGTAATTATTCGCTATTGGCGTTATCATAATTATTATTAATTTTTTTTTTTTGTTATCTTATATATATTATTATAATTATTTGATGTGTGAACTCGTCAGAAACACTTGTACAGCTTGTAGAATAAATAATATACATGAAAATAAAACGAACTTGTTAAAAAAAAAAAAATAAACAAATGTAGATTTTGAAGAAAAAAAATTAAATTTTTTGGCTTTTGTTATTTTTTTTGTTTAATGATACTTTATTAAATACATACAGAACGTCGTAGCCTCGTTCCAATTCGGTCATGCGCATACTTGTGCAATATTATTATATATATATATATATATATATATATATATAATATGGTGCATTGTACGCGCGTGCTAGTGTATTGTTTGAAACGTTTGCTGATCGTTTCTAGTATTATCATTATATGAATTATTATTATTATTATAATTGCGAAGAGAAAAAAATGTGTATGCGCAAATGCGTAGTATAATGAACGCTTGGAGGAAGTCACGACGGTAATGATATTGTTTTCGAGAAAGGTCAGTATTTTCTCGTTAGAAGAATAAAAAAAATAATATGTATTCCTATAGATCCATATTTATATACACGGTTGTACTGAATCGCGTACACGGATATGTAGCGTCGGAGGCTACCGCATAAGTAGCAGTTTTGTCGGTCTCGAAAGAAAAAAAACACCTAAGTTAAAAACTACATAAAATAATAATAACAATTATTATTATTGTTGTTGTTGTGAAAAAAAAAACGACCTTGATAAATAGTGCACGACGGCGCACGCTACTTGTGCCGCCGTCGGCGACGTCACTCGAAGGACCAAGAGTAGCTATGAAGAACATCCAAACGGCTTCTTGTTAATTATGTTGCACTTAGTGTATCTTTCCACCGTGTTAGTGTACTAGTGTTGGTCAAATGTACTGAATATTACCTAACCTAACCTACCGATGTACATACATGGGACGGACGTGTGTATTGGATTTGTACAACAAGCGCGTTTGAAAACTCCAGTATTTTTCACGGGTCATTAAAAATCTTCTAGAATACATAAATATAACGTTTAATGAAATGGTAATCCGGGTTCTCGAGGAGAGCAGCTGTTACTCGTCATCGTACGAGGTGGGTAGCTCTTAACATTGAACCAAAAATATATTGTCGATATAGAATTATTATTTTACGGCATGTCGGTTTTAATGGCAATTGTTCAATAAAATACGTTAATTTTATTCAAACGTAAATTATCATTTTTTAAACATTAAATCGAGAATGCCAATTTTTAATGTAGGTACATCCGGTTACGTAAGTATATTAAAGGTAGAAGTGAGCAAAACGGTATCAACGATTCAAGTACCGATGGAGCTAATAAATAAGTGGAAATATCAGTTACAATATCTATAATATATCATTCATTTAAAAAATAACGTGGTCTTTAGTTTATTGAAAATAAAATACGTAAAACTTCAATGTGCATTTATAATTTTCAAAAAACCCGGAATGTGAGTTTAGTTCTTTATGGTAGATCCGTATGAATATAAATAAATTGTATTACAATTTTATATTTAAAAATATCACTAATTTAGTGTATTTTTCCTAGTTATGAATTGGACAACATACGTGTATCTAGCGCGGATCCATCCAAGATGGTTTTACTTCTATTTTGGTCTAGTTTTTAACTTGAACATTAATACCTAAAATTGATAATCAGTAATCACGGTTATTAATAAAATATAACAGATATTTTTTGTTAAAGTTTAAAAAATTTGTCCAATTGTTGAAAACGACAGATACCAGGACGCCGCAATCATTACTGACTTGTGTTTTTCTATTGTTAATTAAATAATTGAGGCGCATAGCACTAAAACAGCTAAATCCATTAAACATTTAATTTAGTTTTAATACCTACGTTACACCTTTTAGAATAATACTCTGTTCTTAAACCAAAATGACCCAACCCTAAAAATAAAAATGAATCCACTTAAACCAAAAGTTTTAACTTAACTCTTAAATAGCAATTACCATGCGATAATAGATCTATCAATTCTTAATTAGACATAAAACACCTTTTCTTTTTTAATTTTACGTCTTTAAAACTGATACATAAATGAAACGATGATTATGAATGTAATATTTAACTCATGTCGTCACATGACTTAAATATTAGCCACGTCTTATTTTTAATTTTCATATACTTTTTTAACAATTCGTGCTTTGTGTTTTTAAACACCCCGCGCGGCCGCCTCCGTCTAATAGACTGTCATATTGTTCTGTTTTTATCGTCTGTTCGATCGCCGAGACATGAACGTATACAGTATGCACGTTATCTGCAAATTATTTATCTAAAGAATGACATTAAAACATTGACACGCGAGAATCTCCGACTATACGGTCACACCTAGATGAGTGATAATAATATAGTAACTAATGAATCTGTGGCGGATAGCCTTCTTTAGCAGAGAACGCTTTACCTTATGTCAGGAAACTAATGAACATTACAAACCGATATTGTATTGTATTGTATTTATAAAATGATCTGTGAACATTAAAATATACTAACACTTCTGTTGGTTTTGAAACGATATGCGTGTTTGTTATGATCACACAATGATAGGGTCTAGTCGACATGGCGTGTACTTGATTTTGCGCGTAACCATTTACCAATAGGGTCCGTTTGCGTACGACCTATTGCGAAATAACGTCTGAACATAGTGTTTCGGATTTCCTATCGAAACATATTGCGTCGTTGTGATCATAGGAATCGTCTGTACTGGTTTTTTTCCGTTAATATTCAGAATAATAACACACACACATATTAATAGGCGGTATAGTTATAATGCGATAGCCTAAAATAAGATTGTATCTAGATAATCCAATATACGAATATCTTATGGCTGTGCCTATATTGCAATAGGTCAATGTGTACCTACGGTTTTGAAGATGACACGGTGTTACGAAATATACACACGAAAAAAAAACAAATAAGAGAGAGAGACAGAGTGATTTAGAACGAAAATGATCACAGTTTATAAATAGTTTTAAACAAAAACACGAAGGTTACACGAATCTTTCTATGTAGGGCTTGTATAGGTACTGAAAATGTACACACTAGAGTAAGATAGTCCAAAAAGGAGAACGCTAAATTCACACGCAGTTGCCTCATACTATATACTGTTTATTGTAAATTCTATAGATTTATTTTTTAGTTTATAAAACAATATAGAAGCTTTCTCAGTGGAATCAGTGCGATCAAATAACAGACCACACGGAAAGTTTAACATAGTTTCTCGATGATCACGAAATAAAAACAACTCTTTGAGTAAATTACTATACATATATATATATTATTTTTTTTGTCTCTCAAATATGTGTTCAGTATCTAACCGTATACAAATATGACAAATCGTTCACAGAAAAAACGGAATCATTATAGTTATCATGAACTTGTTTATAATTGAAAATTGTAATAATAACTAAATCGAATATAATATTACGCTATGCCGATGTACGGTCGCCTATATTTCGAAATCGAATAATTCGATTCACTTATGGTATTAATGTATTTAGCATTATTATTATTACACCAACGGGTAAAGCCATTTCTCAATGTTTAATTTTTACTGCCCATCCCTAGTGGCCGTGTGCCTTGTTCTAAATCCACTAAACTGTAGTTATTTCGCCGTGTCGAACCATGGACGGACGACCGCTGCTCGTCCTCCTCATATATGGGATAATTTCGCTATAAGCATGCCGTGCACAGAAATAGTAGGTATTATAGTCAAATCGTCTTCGGGGAAGAAGGAGCCGGCGACCTCCAAAACCTGCAGTGGCTTCATTGACATTTTCACTTTCTTCCATTTTATACGGCTCATAAACAATATCTATACATGTACAATGTGTACTAATTGCCTCGTAAACGATACTTGCACGCTTCATCTTCAATCGTCGATCGTACGACGAAGGTTTTTACAATCATTTTCGTTTCACATACACTTTTTAACAGCCGGACAGCGAACGAAATTATTCTGATAACACGGCTATTGCGTACGGAGAGGCACATTTTTTCGCGAACTCATCTATATGAAGGTCAACCAGAAAAGACATTTTTTTTTGTCTTAGAAAAATACGCTTGAAAATATTCAGGAATTGCTTAAAATTGTGAAACATTAAAACAAAAAAAGTTTGTAAACGTTAGACCAATTTTTGTTTTAAGAAATAATTGATTTTTAAAATTTTTCTCCAATGCCCTTTCAAATATTATGTCTCGCACGCGTTGTTCGCGCCGAGGACACGGCAAACGGCATTGTCGGGGAGACGGTTCGATCGCGAAACAAACAAAAACTTCAAAGGACAATACCCAATATTATTATGGGTATGCAGAGCGTGTATCGTAAAAACAATAATATTCTCCATATTAACGTTGCGCGGTTTAACGACGCACGCGTTTATGTATTCTGGTAGTAATTATTTAATAGGCTCGTGATTGTCGTTGCGAAGACTCCTACGCGCGCCACCCGCTATAAAGTATTTTTTTTTTTCGTTAGAATATTATATTACGTTGTGCATAGGTAGGTATATAATGTGGCGACCGCAAGACGTTTCTTTTGCTCGGCATACAGCGGTGACGCGTTAAAGGCGTGTGTGGGAAACGCCGTCTTATTGCCGAGATACTTAAAACCGTATCACGACTGTGAATCGCGTGATAATGAGATCACCTGCTGCAGCCGTAGTCGTCAGCATGTTCTATATAGGCATCTAGCTCTACACGAACCGGTATCGATCTCATCGATGGACCGTTCGTACGCGGTATACATATTATAATAGGACCTTGCCAACATTACCGCACGTGTTGTGCAATTCCGTCTCGATTCAACATCGGCAATCGTGGTGCGATTCAATTGTATTTATACTCATATTATGATCATCTCAAAACATAAGAATACAACGATGGCATAGTACACGGCCGGGAAAATTACATACAGCTGTGTAGATACTGAATAAAGTTTTATATACTCGGATACCAAATAATAAAATTGGTGCTACTAAAAGTCATGTCAAGTTCATTAGTTACAATTAATAATATATTAACACTTCTATAGTAGTGTAATTT